TGGTTTTATTCTTAAGCATGCTGATAAGGACTGCAAATTTTTCTACATATTGAACACCGTAGTCATCCTTAGGAAAAAAATCTCAGTTGAATAAATAATTCAAATATCAGTCATCCAGGAATGGGAATATAGGGAATAACTTCTCTTACAATACTGCAAAAATACAGTGCTAATATTTCTGAAACATTTTTGATGGGTGCTGATGGTTCAGAAAATATTGGTAAATACAATATTCACCTAATGGTTTCAATGAGCCTGCTACTTAGATTATCTTTTTATTTTAAAATTAGATTGTGGGAAAAAATAGTACAATCAGATAGAAAATATTTTTAACAAGATATTCCTCTGTGGTTTTGCAGTTCCTTGTATGTATATGTTTTAATATTAAATCATGGAAAAAATATTAGATGGAAATGCATTCTATTGACAACCAAATTTGTTTATTTGGCTGCCATAAATATATACACAGAAGTGTGAATCATTCGTAATACTTTCATATATATCTATAGAGAGACATACATGTTTCAGCCATGTTCTGTTGTGCTGCAAATATAAAAATATGTAGACTTAGAAGGAAAATTGGAATGCAGACCACAGGACAAACAAGCTTTTATGTAACAAGTTTCATTTCATTTTTACTTTTGCAAGGTAGTATATGTAGGAACCAAAAACTGCTAGTTAACAGAAAAGAGCAAGTAAGTTTTAAGTAGATGATGGGTTTTGATTTTTTTAATTTTTTTTTTTTCCCTGAGGGGAAGGCGCAGACATGACAGTTTTAGTTTTGTTTTACATATGAAAAAAACAGTTAATCTTCTGAAAAAAAAAAAATCTGTGGGCCATTTTGATTTCTTCAGAGTTGTTTGAAGTTTGAATTTTCTCTTCCACTGCATTTTAATCTTGTTTCTAATCCTTTAGACCCCTTCATCATTTCCTTAATGGCTTGCGTTTGTTGCAAGCACTGTAGTATTTTTATTTTTATATCTGATAAAAAGTTGTATTTAATGCATTAAAATGTGGATAGGTATTAAGAAATCCCAAGGAGTTCTTTAACACTATGGTGACTACTTCTAATTTTAGCAGAGAAAAAGTCTTTCCAGAAAAAGCCATGTAATAACAGTACTCTTTCCTTTGATTTCTTTCTTCTTTTGAATACCATCAATGTTCATGTGTTTTGCTTTCACGGCCTCTTAGTAACTATGATTAGTTTGCAATAGAATTTTTCTCAGCTTAACTTTTTTCTGATGTGTGAGAAGCTATATGACAGACGATGTGATGTGAGAAGGAAAGCTTACCCAGCTTGTTGAGGTCATATGACAGATGCACTTTGAGTATGGTCATACGATGGATGGTGGAGAGACTATCCTGCTGCAGGCTGTTGCATGGGTGTCTGTCTATGAACCTGGGAGCATCCTGAGCTTTTGGGAATCACTGAAATGACAGATTTGCTTGCAGCAGGATAACCTTTTCCAGCCAGAAGAAGCTGATGCCCTCTTAATGCAAGAGGTATCTGAGGCATACAGTGGGCCAGGAGAAATGAGTCATCTTGTACCAGAAGGATGAGACATGATAGATCTGTTCCCCAATACAAATTAGGAATAAGGTATTAGCATTGTATTTTACTTCCCTTTAGTTCAGTTGCTAGTTGTAAGGAGAGAGGAGGAACTGAAAGTATGAGGCCATTGGTGAGTACAAATTATCAGTCGTTCTCAACCCAGTACTTGAACATTTCTGATCTGTGTTCTTTTCTGCTTAGTTTTATTTGAGGAAATGTCCATTTGCCCCAGATCTTTGCAGTTCAAAAGTTTTATTTTCCCTTCTGTGTGCCTTAGGTCACTGAATATCAATAGCTCAGAACAGCACAATTTTCCCCAAAGATCTTTTTATTTTAGAACTTTTAAGTATTTTATGGATCAGACTTCTTAAGCAACATGTTCCCAGTAGGCTAAAAAACACAAAGAAGGACGCATATGTCTCTACAAGAAAGACACCTCTATCTAGAATTTATACCTGTAAATCTTGCTTAGTGGCATCTCCTACAAAGAGAGGATGTTCATGATTAATTTTGCAGGATTACCACTTGGAACTCTCTCTATACTTTACCTGTAAATTGTTCAATGAATTATCAAAACTGCTGCTTCTGGTAGCTCCGTCCTGGTTGATCTGATCAATCCTTTGTAAAAAGTCTGTTCATTACCAGTGTGTGTTCTGAAATTGATGGTGAGTTTGGCTGCCTCTGAGTGATTGATAATTGATTGAAATAGTTGTGGTATATATTTTTACAAATACTGATTTACACAATATGGGATTAGAAGATGAGAGCTAGGAATGTTTTATGTTCCTATACACTGTTTTTCTTAAAAATTCAACTTATACAACCTGAAGCAACCCTCCTTCCTTTTTTTCTTTTTCCTCATCACTTTGTGTGTTTCATACAAATCGTATTTTCTGTCTAGCTCCTAGCTGACTGGCTCCTGGCTTCAACACAAGGCTGATTACAGTGCCAGGAAATGTTCCTAGGTTTTCAGTTCAGTAGTAGCTGAGTAGCATAATTATTTTAGGAGATTAACCTTCATACCAAGACAGATGGAGCTGATCCAGTCTGCATGTCTAATAAAGAGGACTAACCAAACACACACGATAGCCACACCACACTACTGCAGTCTCTTAGCAACTGGCAGATCTGTTGATGGGGAATTAAGACATTGTTTTGTCTCATCACCCTTTCAGACAAAACTCCAGCTCTTAACCAGTACAGGGAAAAAAAAATGAACAGAGGACTTCTTTCTTCTTTTATTTACAGAAGTTACTTCTGTGCTTGTTTATTCTTTCTACTCTGAAATACCTCTTATTACTTCTTCCCTATTTTCCATATTTTCTGGTTGAATGATTCCTTATCTGTTTGTTGGGTTTTGCGGCTTTCTTTTTTTGATCTTTTGGTTGAGTATGGGGTATTACAGTGAAGCTGTTGTCTATCATGGATGTTCCTGGAATTCAATTTAGCTTTGCAGGCTTGAATTGCACATGTATGGAGAGAAACAAGGGGTGCTTTGGCCAGCTAATTTTATTTTTAATTCACAGGTACTTGTTTCTGGCATTAGAAAGTTGAGTGTTCTAATTGAGAGAGAATTATCAGAGTGTGTGTTTCCCAGCGAACAAAACATGAGAGACTCGAACAAAACCTAGCTTTAGATCCCACTCACAAGGAATGAGCTTGTTCATTGATGTAGGATATTGCTATTCCCTGCTGATTGTGCTGTAGAATATAGTTTTTTATTGTATCCTGACCTGAAGCATCCCTGCCTGTGAAATTTCCAGACTCTCACAGTCACTTTGTGTACCATTATGACCCTTACCCACACTTGTATTCTGGAGTTCTGTGCTCCAGTAACTCTTTTATTTTAGTATTTCTTCCTACTCAAGCTGTTCCTAATTCTTACCTTGTAATATGCGTAGTGTAGGGCCTGACTACACAGAGAAAATGGTGTCAACTGAGGTAGGGTAAGAAGTTAAAGCAGAATAGCTATTCCTCACTGAATGTCTTTGCTTTAACTGAATCCATTCATAATGTGGATGGAATACTCACTGCATGGCATGAAAGATATTACAAAATTGCTACTCCGTGCTGCTTCTCCCTGTGAACAGTTTACTTGGTTTTCTCTCCAGCACAGCTGACAACAAACGATCCTGAAATGTCGTGCTTTTTACATTCTTATGATCAAATTTTCATTCTTTATCATTCTAATAGATCTGTAGTTGGAGCCAGGAATATCTGAGAGAAGTAATTATACTGCAGCCATAAAAATTTTCTTTCACCACCTCTTTTGATTCCCCATCAGTTTAATAAAGTTAATGCTACTCTTACTTTTCAGATCATTAAAAATACTATTTGTTGAAGGATTTTTGTCTAGAATATTAATCAACTCTGGTCTTTTCTAGCTTTGATGGGAAAAATGTCACAAATTAATTCCTTAAGTGGCATTAACATTGCACACTCTTGGTGGAAATTCACCTCTCGGATGTTTCATTTTTAATTCCTTGCATGTTTTCTTCCATGATCCAAACTGACTGAACACCCAGTGATGCATATCAAGTGGTATATACTTTTGCTCACTTGAGTTCAGTTGACAGC